AACCAACATTTTCCAACGGGATTTTTTTCTTTTTTTTCGCTCCCTGAACCGCGTCCCCCCTCTCCTCTCTCTCTCTCTCTCTCTCTCTCTCTCTCTCTCTCTCTCTCTCTCTCTCTCTCTCTCTCTCTCTCTCTCTCTCTCTCTCTCTCTCTCTCTCTCTCTCTCTCTCTCTCTCTCTCTCTCTCTCTCTCTCACACACACACACACACACACACACACACACACACACACACACAAACGAACAAGCCAACTCATCAAACACCAGCAGCTTCACCAGTTTTCCGCGTGTGCAAGTGTACGGTACCATGCAAACATGAACATGTAAAAGGCGCGCTCACCAGTCTTGCGTAGTAGCCCGGCTTACGCACGCGACACGTGGCGCGTCTCGTGTACTGGCCCGGCTTAATTTTTTTTTTTTTTTTTTTAAGTTTTGAAATTTCTGATTTAAGACTCTAACCCAGACGAATGCATGATGAAAAAAGAGAAAATAATAAGGCACCCATTTTTATAGTCCAGGGGATGGCCCACGCCTGGTAAAAAGAATAAACAGAGAAAACTCGGAAAAAAGACAGTTCAATAACTTCAATTGCACACTGATCACTAAAGAAGAAGATGAGTCCGTCTATGAGGAAAGCCGAGCCTCAACCACCTCCAGACCAATATTGTCTGGGTTGAGATGGATGCGTGCCCTAGGACGTCTTGAACCGCGCAGGCACAGGATAGAGGCTCTGACGAGAGAGATGCTGATCTTCGACCTCAGCCAAGCCATCACTTGTGAGTAGGGCTGCAACTTCTTCTCTGCCATGAGACTTGCGATCCTCTTCACCAAAGCATTAGCACTTCGACCTGCTCCACCAGATGTGGCGTAGACGACAGGGATGAAGGAGGCATGTTCCACCTCTCGCACACGTGCTTCGTATAAGCGGCGCTTCTCCTGCTCGTGTTTGCGGTAGACAGAGGCAATGGACGACGATGAATTAGAGCGAGCATAGGGGTTGAAAACCCTTACATCCAAAAATGAACGCTCAAAACGACCGCCGTACACGCCATTTGCCACCACATCCAATCGAGCTTGGTCGCCTCTCACCGCGGTGCGTGGCTGAAGGTGCTCTCCACTAAGGGGCTCTAGATGTGGCTCGATCTCCACTGCATGAGCGACTTTCACCAAACACTCTGCAAACACATCCCTGATCTCGTTGTGCCGAATGCTGGGAAAGCCACCATTGGGGCAAGACAGAGCATGGGTGACTGTGAACTGCTGCCCGCACACACACTTGGTGGGGAGATTGTTGGGCTGCCAGCCGTAGCGCAGACAGAGGGCATCCCGGAACTCGGCCTTGGAGAGCGCAAAGCCAAACCGTGCCAAAGGGCGGCAGGTTAGCCAGTTGGATGCGCCCTTCTCCGCCGCAAGCTCCATGCACCGCTGCAGGTCGGGAGAGACGCTGTTGAAGACATCCTTTCGGTGCTGCTCTTCTTGTTGTCTATGAGCCTCCCGGACAGCAGACTTGGCTATGCGAGTTTGCTCAGAAACACCTTCTAGCGACATGTCTTGTCTCCGGATCTTCATGACCAGGGCCTCTGTGATCTTCACGGAAGCACCAAACTGGGCGGTCAGCAAGAGAGGGGAGACTATCCCTAGACCTCCGTGGCGGCAGGGCATTGCGAGAATTGACCGCTCCTCTGCTCCAAGTGGTGATCGACCAGTCAGAGCCGGGATGAGCTTCGTTGCAATAGTCCGCTCCAGTGGGTGAAAATACTCATGCACACCCGGCATTGTCCTTGCTAAGAAGGACCATCTATGGCGCAGGACATTGGTGAAGACCACATAGGCTGCTTGCGGTTGTGTCATGGCAATAGCAGCAAGATTGCAGACTTCTGTGCACCACCCATCGACCTTGAGCTGCACATACTCGTTGCAGAATGCCTCTGTTCCAAGAGCCGCCCCAAGATGGCGTTGACCATCCGTTCTGATGACAATGTCTGTGCCGCTGAAGATCTCTCTTGCCAACTCCTCGTGTTGTGGTTTGACCAACAGTACTGATTTGGCAGCATTCAGGTAGTAGCCATAGCCCTCGCCCACGACACCAAGCATGTCCCACCAGGCTCGCAGTCTCCTCAGCTTGCCCGCGGAGTTGGCGTCATCAGCGTACCAGCTCTGAAGAACGTCGCTTGCTGTACTGGCCCGGCTTATGCATGCGACAGGCTTGTACGCGAAAAGCTGTTGCAGATTTCATGCTTCTACACGAGACAGGCTTATGCACAAATCCGGCTTATGCACGCGACATTACGGTACTTTTCGCGTTTTGCTGTGTACGGGTACATGTATGTAAACGTGCGTTGTCGAATTGTGGTCAGAATGTACATGTACATGATGATGTATTGTCCAATGCCTTACCGTCCCGTTATCATGGTTACTAGTACATGTATTGTACCAAGCCAGCATTCCATCCAGGGCCTGAGAATGTACAATGTAGCCTGTGTTAGGCCTGATGGCGTTCACCTTCCCCTTTGGAATTACAGGTATCACTGATGTCCATGAACCTTCCAAGTAATAGTTGACTGTCATGCCGTGGAATACCCCACCCTCCCAACCATGGCCAGCAATCGAGGACATCTGAGAGTTGTAAGTGATCCTGAAAAAAACGTCGATTCGCAAAATTATGTTGATTTTCAATGTACGTGATGACATGCGATTGCTGGCTATGACATACATGTAGATAATGGTCTCGGCCGTGGCTAGCTGATGTATGCCGGCAGTTGGCAATTTTCTATTTTTATTTTCTTGGCTCACAATCCGAGTTATAGATGATCGTTATTTTCTAAAGCGAACGCTTATCTTACCAGTGTTCGTCTTACTAAGGAGCTTCACTCTTCAGCTTCCAAATCCTGTTTCGCTTGCTCACTGCTGCCGAGCGCTAGATAACTCTTTCTGCCATGTGCCAATGGAGCCTCATCCTCCTTACTGCAGCTACGAGCTGAAATAGACCTGGACTGACAAGTCAGAACCAGGCCGATGAGAGCTAGCCACAGATATAAATGATTATTTAAAAAATAAACGAACTGCGCAAATCAGTCAAAAATATAAAGGCAATTCCTTCACTTTCTTGTTATTGGGCAACCTGCCCGTTAGAATCTGCGAAGTAAACAAACCACAACAATTTACTAGTACATGTACATGTACTTGCAGTGGCAAGCAGTGCTGAGAAAGGTCAAACAACGAAAGCAGTACAATGCGTCGATCTCAGTTTGAAATGGGATGAGTTTCGACCGATTGTATTCTAGAAGATTGTACCTCAGTCAAAACGCATATCCCGTGTACCCGCTTGAGTGCTGCGAATTCGACACATTCATGTACACATCATCACATGATCACATCGGCTGGTAAACAGGGTAAACCTACTTCACAGCAAGCCATTTCCACAGCGCTTCAAACCGAATCCAGGATACCCTCACAAATCGGCAAAGACTACCACTCACGTTCCACTAGCCTTGTGGTACATGGAATTGTATAGCAGCTAGCGGATGTGTGCCCGTTATGCTTTACACGTACTTGCCAACCAGTAGCAGCAGAGAGCTAGAACTAAGATAGGTACTTAGTAAAAGTGGAATGCACGTCTAACATCCTACGTGAACAGTCTATAAAACGGTTTCATCATAATTCTAATTAGAAGGGCATCTCGTAACGTTAATACTAATAATAGGACGGAAGTCGGTGTGAATGGCATTGCTCTGCTACTTCAGCTAATACTTACATGTACTTGTGATAGCATACAGTCATATACATGTACATGAAGTAAAGGCATGCAGTGCAGGAACTACTTCAAAACATATTTCCAACCGGACTAGATCTGTCATGCAGATTTTGCCCTGACCTCCCCAGGGCAAGAGGTTTCCAGGCACCACCACGTCCGATTGCCATGTCGAGCCTCTCGACAAAGTAACAATTTGCGTAGCAGTATGCGAGTGAATACAGGTGGAGAATGCTGCATGAAGACCTCCTTGAAAGGAAACCCAGGATGACTCGCTCTCCATCGGTACTTCCGCATCATGTGGATGGCGAGAGAAACAGACAACCAGCCACAGGGGGAAGCAAGACTCAAGAGTGTATTATACAGCCTACATGATAATTCCTATGGGCTCTCTAATACAATTGCATGGTGCTCTAATTAGACCAATCCGGGACAGGCCGAGAATAGAATGCATACCAGTTGATGAGGAACACCAGCGCTCAGTGATGGCTTTGACGTGTGTGGGACTAGTCGACTGTCCATGGATGGATAGAGGGGGGGGGGCGGGGGGGGGGGAGGTACTGGTATTGAAACTGTGCGGGGGATGTATTTCATCAGTCATAGTATAGTTAGCAGTTGCGAAGCTCAAACCCCACCCCTCCTCCCTCCCCTCTCTCTCTCTCTCTCTCTCTCTCTCTCTCTCTCTCTCTCTCTCTCTCTCTCTCTCTCTCTCTCTCTCTCTCTCTCTATCTATCTATCTATCTATCTATCTCTCTCTCTCTCTCTCTCTCTCTCTCTCTCTCTCTCTCTCTCTCTCTCTCTCTCTCTCTCTCTCTCTCTCTCTCTCTCTCTCTCTCTCTCTCTCTCTCTCTCTCTCTCTCTCTCTCTCTCTCTCTCTCTCTCTCTCTCTCTTCTCAGTACTGAGAAGCAACCACCGATGTTCGGATCACTGTCGATCACTACCCCACCTGTGATGAATGGAAAGAAGCAGAAGAGAGCAGAAGACACTAATGGCTGGGCCACACAATCCACAATCACAATGTATGTATTCTTGATATGCTAGCATCTGAAGTGGGTAGCGGACACTCAAACAGGACATGTGTTCAGTGAATTCTCAGCATCCTGCACCTCAAAAAACGTGAAATCAGTACTAACCTACTGTACATGTACATGTAGGTACACACACACACACTCGCGCGCGCGCGCACACACACACACACACACACACACACACACACACACACACACACTGGAATAAGTGGCATCACAAAGTATGGGTATTCTACTTTTTGACCAAGTTCGAGCTAAATAATAGATAATAACATTGCAGCAAGTATAAATACAGGCCTGGCGGAAATAATTATTCAGCAGGAAATACGGCACATTTACACACATACAGATGTGACAGTGCATGCGCATCCGGGTATATTCAAGCAGAACAACACAAACAAACTGAACGCTCTGCAGATTGGTCGGAGGCGATACAGGAGATAGATAAAATGTAACAGGTACATGTGCCTCTTACTCCCAACGGATCCCAATATACTGGGAACGTAGGAAAAAAGGCTCTTAGTTATTCCAGGGGGCTGCACTGACACTGAATCAGGAATTAGGAAAGGCGGCAATGATCCGAGGAGCTTGTCCACTGGTGCATTGTGAAGGAATTATTTTCTGAGACAAAGCACCTGGAGGAATGCTTGCTTTCCGGCCAGCTTGGCTGATTATATTGTTATAAGGTGAACCAATAGGAACACTCCACTATAGGGTTGTCTTCTTGTGTGCTTCCAGATAGATGAGTGTGCTTCCGGCTCTGCCCGATGACTACTTCTTTCCGAAGATGGATTTCCAGGGCAACCTGGCGAAACAAGTAAAATCAACACAATTTAAAGAGATAAATATGTGGATCCCTCTTCAAAGACGGGTGGTCTCACGCCCCAAGAAACACCTCCACATGCTTCGATGTACATGCTTCTACTAATTCGTAACCGTTATAAACTACTTTCTACGGGGAAATCATAACCGAGATAAAAAAAGAAGGAGACAACTGAGTGACGATGACAAAATGAAGAAAGGAGGGGTAGTACAGAGACTAGTAACGTGAGGAATTCACTGGGAGCCTGTGCTAGTGAGGCAGCTTGTGTCAAGACTCCAGAGAGCATGTTCGGAGAATCAATAAAGAAATAAGTGAAATGAACCTGTCTAAACAGACTGTATGTTATGTCATCTGCACACTGGTTTCTGGATGAAATGGGCACTAGAAACGTGTTGTGCTTTGAAGATCCAAACACAATGCAACATTCATAGTCCACCCGTACACCCATCACCTCCCCTTCCCAAACCCACGCCCTCCCCACACACCTACATGCATCAATACAAGTCAATATTAAGGTATACAAGTCGTAGGTGACATTCCTGTGGTGGGCTACGCAATTCTTAGGTATCATTCCTGTGCCATATGATAATTATGACTATTGAATACCCTGGTCCCTGGTTCATCCTGGTCCTTCCCCTGGATACATGGTCACCTACCTGCCAATTAGGTTGCCGATAATGTTAGGTAGTGTGAATTGGCGATTTGGTCGCTCGGGTACAGGCCGGGCTGGTGCTGGTCGCCGGGTCACGGGCGGTGGCTCAGTTGCTTGTCCCGGGGGCAGTGGGTTCGTCGCGGGCATAGCCCCGGCGTCCGGGTTGGGATTCCCGGGCGCGTCCGGACCGGTACCGGGCAGGCTGATCAGAACCGGGTCCAGGGCTCCGGGCTGGGCGGCACCCGGGCCGGTGGCGCCTGGCTGGGCAGCCGGGGCGGCGGGCTGGGCGGCTGCTGCCGGTGACGGAGCTTTGCCCAAGTGCGGGATGAGATTGGCAGGGATTGCCTGCATGGCTTTTGATATCTGCAGAGATATTCATGAGCCGCCAGGCAAGAAACGCAAGCGTTCAGTCATAGTGAAGCTTGAGAAACGTGTTATGAGAACTTTTTAAACCCTGTACTGTCTGTACATACAAGCATCAAACCAATGGGATCGATGGGGTAGGCATTTGAAAATCATCATAACTTGGTTAAAACTCCAATAGAGCCATGTAATCATTTCCAATAAACCTCCAACCCACGCAACACACGAACAGTCCTTGGCTACACCACATCATCACAACGATTGTTTCCGAATTTTCACCCAGGAGGGCATCATCAGGGACGTCCCTGAAGCTTGAGAAAGTTTGAAAAATTCAATTTGAAATACGCTCCACTGCATATCTATAACTCAGGTCAAGGTAATTGCCACATCTCCTAATGGGCCTTGGCGGATCCTGCTCGAAACATTGACAGATCCTGCTCAAAAAGCAGTGAATATGGCTGGCCCATACAAAGTGGCGTTTACGGTTTTACCCTCAAGTAAACCATAATGTTTTAGGGCAGAGCAGCTGAATAGTAATATGCCTTGCTCCAACCCAATCCCGGTAGGTGGTGCCGTGAAGTATGACCTCGGCACCTTTCCCAGAACTCACCACATTATACCAGGCCGGTGTGGGGTTTCTCGCGCGACATTCGCCATTCCAGTTGCGATATTGTTCGCTGTAGCGATGGCGTGCGAAGCACATCGCAGCCTCGGCATCGCACATGCAGAATCCACGTCCACACGCATCAGTATTTTGTTCTGGAAGAAAGAGTTGAAGAAAGATCGAGAAATAAAAATCAAGAGATTAAGGGAGGAGGAGGAGGAGGAGGAGGAGGAGGAGAAGGAGGAGGAGAGGGAGAGAGAGGGGGGGGGGGAGAGGGAGAGGGAGAGAGAGAAGATGAGATATCCGTTCATTTTCTAAACATGTTTACATGTACATGTACATGTATCTATTATATTCTTAGTTTTCTTACTGCCCCAAATAAATCACTTTAGATAATGGCGGTGCTTCTACATACCCGTTCTGCGAGCTCAGTGGATGCTTGCATGCACTTACGTATAGCTGCGGTGCTGTGCAATCATCATAGACGGCTAAATTTACCCAGGCTGTGTTGTGACCAAAGGGTGCCAATGGTATCAGTAACAAGAAGCTAGCGGCAGACCTGTCTAAAACTTTTTAAAACGTATTGAAAAGGAAGAAACGACTGATGGCAATGCATCGATGGTTGACATAATCGCACTCACCACAACCAGTTGGTCGGTTGACGGTGCACTTCCATGAGTATGTAGCGAAGTGACCATCCTGACAACTGCTCTCGCGTTTCACCTTCGCCCAGCACTGGTCATGACGTAGGCAACATGTATCTGTTGCATCCACCGGTGTGCCTGCATGCATTGCAGTGAGGACATCGAATACAGACGGAGCTCAGAAAGAGGTAGTGCTTGTTTATGTGATCAAGGGGAGTGTGGGGAGAGTGGAGAAAGGAGAGTGTAAAGATAGGAAGCTGATACAAGAGAGAGGGGACTTGGGGTCGGGGAGAGAGAGAGAGAGAGAGAGAGAGAGAGAGAGAGAGAGAGAGAGAGAGAGAGAGAGAGAGAGAGAGAGAGAGAGAGAGAGAGAGAGAGAGAGAGAGAGAGAGAGAGAGAGAGAGAGAGAAAAGAAAGTGGGGAGAGTGGAAAAAGAGAGTGTAAAGATAGGAAGAGGAGACAAGAGAGAGGGGACTTGGGGTTGGGGGTGGGGGGGGGGGGGTGGAAAGAAAAGAGTTTGGAGAATGACTGTGTGGAGCAGAGAGTGGAAAGGA